TATATATACATATATACATATATATACATATATACATATATATATATATATATACACATATATATATATATATATACACATATACATATATATATACACATATACATATATATATATATACATATATATATATGTATATACACATATACATATATATATATATATACATATATATATATATACACATATATATATATATACACATATATATATATATACACATATATATATATACATATATATTTATTTATTTATTTTTAAACCCAGCAAGAGAAATCGAAATTAAAATGCTCTGCAGGATGTTTTGTGGTATTTAGATCACGGACAATAATAACTAGCCCATTGTGGCACAGAGTAGATAACCCCCATTTCCTGCACCTCTAAAAATATTCTAGTAGGCTACCAATAAGATAATACTATCAAGTGTCTTAGCTTTTCAGAAATAAGTTCATACAGATAAAAATAATAAGCAGCTGAAGATCTATTAAAGGGGTTTTAATTTTATACTAGATACTTTTAAAGTTTTAGTTTTACCGGTGTAGAAAGCACAGAAATGATCCTGTACTCGTTTTAAAAATGTCCAATTCCATTACACAAAAGTATCACTTCAAACCAAGCTTCCTTAAAATATACCTAAAAAAAAACAACATAGTCTAGAAGCCTAAAGAACAAGTCATTTGTTAATGTGACTCTACTGCACTAAATTTTTGAGGCATATTTGGAAATAAAAAGCTACATTTTTGCACTGAAATAGTTTTGCCAACTTTGACTTTTAGTTCCTACATCTAAAGACACATTTCCAAATGATGAGTCAGATTTTTAAAATCTATGGAGGAATGGCTTAATACTCAGTCATGTTTTTTTTTTTTGGGGGGGGGGGGGCAGACTACACAAACTGAGCAATTTTAAAATGACAATTATACTCGCAATACAAAATGTAACTTAGAAAAATGTCAATTCTTAAAAAGATATTTCCATCAATCCATCCATTCGCTTCCGCTTATCAGGGTCGCTGGAGCCTATCCCAGCTGTCATAGGGCGAGAGGCGGGGTACACCCTGGACAGGTCGCCAGTCTGTCGCAGGGCCAACACACAGGGACAAACAACCATAAAAAGATATTTATCAGGAAAAATACATTTTACTTCAGACATCTGCTCATAATAATATCACACAATTTTTCCTTTGAACAAGTTTATTTTACCCGCACATAATTTTTCCCTGAAATAAAAAAAAAAAAGAAAACAGATGTAGATTGAGTACAGTAGAACGATTTTACATTCATATGGAAATGCTGCTCCCTGGTGGTAAAATGTGAATCTTACAAGACACACACTCGGACAACATGTACCATTTGGTGACACTTTGTTCTCTATTAAAGCAACGTGTAATGAAATATTGCTCCAACAATTACTCAGACTATTGAAAAATATTCCATATCCTTGTGACACTCAAAGATACAGTTTCCTTTATTATGTTCAACAATATTTTACAAGCAACAGAACTTAATAAAGGCCAAATTAAATATCGCACGCGTTTTATGAGGCAAACATTGAAGTAAGAGGGTTTTGAGTCCAGGGTATGTTTTTTGATCTGAAACAAACAAACATATATAGACATCTGTTAAACAGCCATCTTATAACACACATGGAAGAGAATAAACATGACTGAATAGATGATTTTACTACCTGCTCTGCTAAATTTTGTCAATGCCGAGCTCTTCAGGTGTAGAGATGCCAAGCTCATTTAAAGTAGGCCGCAGCTCCTGGATCACGTACGGGTAGATATCTTTATGGGGTCCGGCTTTGTCCTGAGGAAATAAACAATAAAACCCATTAATCACCATTATCTGACTACAAAGGCTCTGGCTGGCAATTTTCTCTCATGTGCCTTTTCTCTCACCTTCACAGCTTCCAAAATTCGGATAGCGCTGGCCAAGTCGTTTAACCTCCGACAGGCTCTCAGTGCAGCCTCGAGAATCTTTGGCTCAGGTACCAAATCGTACCCAATCAATGTGTTCATCCCTGAAACAAGCAGTCACAACACATTTAAACCAGAGATCAGAGAAAAAGACTTCTAAAGGATCTGAGCGCAAACAACAAATAAATAAAACGACTAACCATTCTCATCAAATTATTTTCGGTGTAGCTTGAAGCAGTATTTTAAATCCCTCTTTACCAAAGCGCTCTATAAATGAAGCGAACACTTAATGGGCACATGCCCCTGTTTCAATTATCAGAGGAGTCTATTTTGAGCTGGTGCCATACACCACCCTGCTGCCAAAATTACTTACTAATGGATCAAATTTGTATTAATCCAAGACTCAAAAATAAAAAGGTTTTATTTGCTTTTGTCACGTTTGACAGATTTAATGGACATAGGTAGGCTGTTATATTCGATAAATCAGCTGTGACATAAACCTGCATACTGTAGACCAGCGGTCCCCAACCCCCGGGCCTCAGACCGGTCTGTGAGTCGTTTGGTACCGGGCCGTGAGAGTTGAGGCTCAGGTGTGAAATGTATGGTTTTCAGGGTTTTTATCGGTTTTCAGCGTTATTTTGTTATCGTTTTTATCGTTAATTCGGTTTTCCTGGGTGTTTTCACGTGTGTTGTGAATAAATCTTCTTTTTTTCGGTACTGGTACTAGTTTTATTTTGTTGTATTTATCCGCGACACCTTAAAGGCCGGTCTGTGAAAATATTGTCAGGCATAAACCGGTCCGTGGCGCAAAAAAGGTTGGGGACCGCTGATTTAGACAAACCACTGTTGTCTAGTGCTTATTTATAAACTACACACAGCCTCTGTCAGTGTTTAGCAGCTGTTAACAATATAGATGAGTTTTATCAGTCTATATAACTAAAACAATATCAGGGGTGAATGTCTCATCAGGAAAACTGATTTTCTTATAATAAGCTCAGTTTTTACATTGTTATGATATGGGTTTTACAATAGGAAATGAATCGAAACAAATGTAAACAGATTCTGACCAACAGATTCAACCATTTTTGTTAACTATGCAAAGCAAACATGCAATTTTAATCATTATATTGAAAACTATGACTGTTTACTTAAATCTTAATCTCACTAAGCCTCTTAATGCAAAATTGTACAAGGCCATTTTTTTAATAACTTCTGTTGACTCAAGACAAACATACCTCAGCAATGAATAACAATTCCAATGATTACATTGATTCAACATTACTATATTCCAGAAACGTACCTTTTCTCAGTTCCCATGCGTCAATATCTGGCTTGTTAAAATAAGTGACCCAGCGGGCATCGAACTCCTCGTCTGTCTCCTGCTTCCCATGTGAATAACACCTTGAGGCCAGAAGAGCTGCATGATAAGACAGATTTGTTTTCAGTGATTTGTGTCTAATAAAAGAAACCTACAGTGAATGTTAAATAAATGCGGAAGGACCAGGCTACGTCATATTTTAAAAATTTCATACATGATGGGCGAAATATTAGGGACACTTACCCTACCACCCCAACTCTAACTTCAATAATAATAATGATAATAATAAAAACAACTTTTTCTTCAAACCAACTAAAACTGAAAATGCAGTCATTCCGGCATCAGTGTTGTTGCACTCGCCAGTATTAAATTTCATAGGTGTATCTAATAAAGAGGCCGGGAATTGTATCTGCGATGTAAAAAGGACAAATTCTTCCTTGTAATGTGATGCAGTTGGATCGCTGCCACCGTCTTGATATGACCTACCTTGTGTATCAGTCTGCACGTAGCAGACTGACACACTAGGACGTGACATACCGGAAATTTCTGTCACATGGTCCTCAGGTTATATTTAATAGCAATTTAAATGAAACAATATGACTTAGGCATGTGCTCAGGTATCATGTTAATACTAATTAACCTGCAACCCAAATAACATCTCTCATTTAGACTTTTTGACCCCTAAAGAAACACCAAGACAATGCAAAACTATGCAAAAAAGTATTCTGTTTGTTTTCATAAAAATCTATGCCAAACTCCGTTTTGATGTTGAATTCTAGTTGTCTGAACTCTCCTGCAGTCACCTAGCCTACTTAGTAACTAGCGTCAGCAGTCACAATCACAGGGCCCGAGACGAAGCCTTCTAGCCGGGTCATGACAAGGACATAAACTCCGCCAAGAAGAACGACAGGACATTTTTCAAAGCACCACACCCACAGTTTACGTGGGAAAAAGCTGGACTGAATAAAAATGTGGATATCATGGCTGAATCATTATAATGCAGTTTCGTAATGTTTATTTAATAGCGATTTTTCTTGAATAAAAGCTAGCTAGCTTAGCCGTAAAGGAACCGCAAATGTGCCGACAGTCACACTTGATTTCCGTTACATTGTCTCCCTAACAGTTTCTAAGCAACTATATCAATTACAGATTAATATATTTACAATGGGTGACTGAATTAGGAATTACCTCGGCTCCCTGGTTGCGTCCGAGTTAAACTTCGGACACCGGAGACTGACAGTCGGACGGCGGCTCTGAACATGATGCGAGACTGCGAGCTACACGGACCGGTGCGGTCTGTCCGAAGGAAGCTAGTGCTAACTGTGTTAGCCTGGCACGTACGCAATCTCCTGTTGCGCACGCGCAAACTGCAGCTCATATTTACCCTTGACTTCCCTAGAAAGAAATTGCAGGACTGACAACTGGGAAAACATGTTAATATTTGCAATGTCATTCTCACAGAGAAGTATTTTTTTATGGGATATCTTTTCTTTCTTTCTTTTTAATGCGAACGATACAAAATAGATGTTTCAAAGGTTCTTGATGATAGAATTGCACACAAGTTGAAACTGTAAGACACAGAGCTTTCTTAAAGCAGAACATTTTAGATTTATGATCATTTTAGTTAGATATAAGTGGTGATGTGCATGAAAAAGGTGTGTGTGCAAAACTTCAATGTTGGACATTTAAACTGCTTTTATTTCATGTCATCAGACACTAAAACCTCAAAAATAAGATGCATACAATTAAATTCATGTTCTTTACTATTTATTCAGCCTGGGTCAAAGGCGAACTAGAGCATTACACATAACCTATGCAGGTCACCGGTCTACCACAGATATAAACAACTACACCGATTGCCAGTTCAAAGTTAACCTAAAAATAACAATCTCTTGTGAGGGAGAAAGCACACACAGGTGGAACATGCAGCTTTTACACAAAGAAGTCCCAACTAACCTGGAGGTTAGTGAGGTGACCACTTGACCACTGTGTCACTTTATGATTCATTTTTATTGATGTGACTCTACTACAAAAGAGTACCATCATTATAAAAGTCAGTCAAACAAACCAAAAACGTATGCTCTTGTGAGCCATTATTGTGCACATGAATTATTTCCACAGGCAGAAAACAGAATATAGACAACTGATGCAAAACATGTTCTTTATATTTAAAATGACTATGACCAATTCCATGACTACTGGTTGATTTTTTGCATCAGAATGACCCCGGACAGTGGTCATTAGTGTCTAGCATGGGTTGTTGTGTATGCTTCTTTCCCCAGCTGTTTTCCCAGCTGGGCACAGTGGAGTTTGCTTGTTCATTTGCAAGTAAACTAACTATTAATGTAACTACACTAAAACACCATCATCAGCTTATAAAGTGGGGCAAATAATCATTTGATCCCCTGCAGAAGTTTACAAAGAAATGATCAGTTCTTGATTTTTAAGGTAGTTTCATGTTAATGAAGAGAGATAGAATACTAACCAAAAATCAAAAATCAAAGTTGAATGCCTGACATTGACTGAAATCAGTATTTAATCCCCAAGCAAAACATGACTTAGTACTTGGTGGAGAAATCACTGTCGGTAAGCACAGCAGTAAGACATCTCAGGAGGAATTTTAGCCACTAGCTCTTTAAATTCTCATAAAAATCCGAGACTGTTCATTTCTTTGTAAGTGAGGCAACATAGAAATTCAGCAGGATTAAAATACTTCCCCCTCTATGACTACAAATCTATTACTGATATTGTTGATAATAATAGTTATAGTCATATGTTAACCTGTTACATTTCACAACAAAGTGACAAAGTATTGCAAAGAAGCATTATAGACACAACTGTTTACTTTTGTAGCAAAATGCCTTACATAAGCATCACGATAAACCCCCAGAAATGCAGAGGTATTATTTTCTTCAAGAAAGCTTCATGCTGTAAAACGGAGCACACAACAATCTATTAAATCTATGCAAATGCCAAATTTCTTATTTCTCATGAAGTAATCAGAGGTTTAGGGGAGGACATGCACTCGAATCATCCAGACAGAGTCTCTTGGCTGTGTGTGGGGATGAGTGAGCATGAGCCGTCCTGAGCAGACCCTTCCGTCTCTCAGCATCCTCTGTAGGAACACTGCTGATTTGTGGTGGCTGATATCCAGGCTCCTGGGGGTCCAGAGGATCTTTAGATAGATAGATGCAGATGGCAGGAACTCTCCGCTCCATGGTTATACCTGGTGCTCCAGGCTGTGGACTCTTCCAAACCTCCTTCACTGTGTTATAGTAGAGTTTGGACACCTGGTGCAGACCTTCAACTTTACGTTTCAGGATCTCCACACAGGTGATAGTTTTTGTGACTCCTCTGCCTGAGCCAGTGAAGACCACCTGTCTTAGTGACATCCCATTTGGGTTTCTTACTTCCCCTTGCATGCGAGCTGCTGCAAACTGCAGTAAGCTGCGAATCTTGCTTCCTCCTTTTACTCGCATGTGCAGGATGTCTGCGGCCAAGCCTGGGATCGGATAGGGAATGCTGTCCTCTGTGCGGCTGATTCTCCTGAAGTTGTTCTCACCAGCAGTTTTTGGAAGTGGCAACGAGATCTGGACAGAGGGACTGAATGAAGTAGGCTGCTGTTCCATTGTAGTGCCACATATAGCACTGTTCATCTGACCCCTGGGTTAAGTCATTACTTAGAAAGCAGCAAAATAACAGTGCGGGAAGCTGCAGTAACAGACTATTTGTATGTCTCCTTTGGGATCTAAAACATTGTTCTTGTTCCTTTACTCTAAGAAAGTAAAAGCTGAATGGCTCTGTAATCTAAACTTGTCACTTATCTTGATCCTCTCTCTTCTCCGTCCAAGCTTCTTTTTCATTTTGCCTTTATGAGCGCTGAGATGGCAGCCAGCAGAATAAAGAGGGCACTTCTTCCACTAATCCCACTGAAGTGAAGGAAAAGATGTCCTTGCTCTTTTCAGCACTGAGGACAGCTGATGCCAACAGACACATATGAGGCTCAGAGAGAGACATGTAGAGTGGGACATAGTGCTCTTAAAGGCACATGCAACATTTTGCCTCATTTAATAATGTCTGTATATTTCAGCTAGTTGGGTTTCTTGTTAAAAGGCTTAAGGGATCTGGGAATGGTTTTGTCTGTGTGGTTGCTTGAATTATACAGACGAATGAACACGAGTTAATGAGATCAAGGCACGCAGCTGAAATAAATCTTTGTTTTAACTGAACTCGACTCAATTGTGCCACTTTGCTGACATTCTTAATGTGCGGTTTTGCAGATATGACACCAAACAACCAATCTCACTCAAGATGTGGAGCAATGCTAGTCATTGTAGTATATAATGGAGTGTGGTTTTTCAAGATTATTTTCCCAGTGCGCTATCATCAGAGAGCCATATGGTCCAAGAGAAATGTCTTCCTTTGGGCTATTACAGCAGCTTCACAGCTCTCCTCCTTTCAGTGCATCGCCTGCTGGGCTGACCCCAAAATAATCCTTGCTACAAAAGTTGTGCTTCTTTTTAAGAAATGACATGTACAAGGACAATCACATCTTGGAGCTGCTACTTTTTATTGTCAGACCACAAGTACATTAAATAGAAAGACAGAAAATCAGTATCCAGATGGGAACAGAGGTGCATTGGTTGCAGCTCTCTTTAGAGAAGCTGATCCAAGGGAGGAGGTGAGGAGGCAGCTGGAGGCTCATATGGAATCAGCATGCTGTTATAATGGTGCATTTCTGCCTCGCAGGATGGTATGCACCCCATGTTAAACAATCAGCAGAAGCATGAAATGCATTGTTCAAATTAAGTTGCTTTACAGAAGAATTATCTGCTTTTCATAAAACATCAGTTAACAGCAGCATTCCCATCCCGAGAATACTCATTAAATATTTGAAGGTGGTTCACTGGAGGCCTTGCGCACGCTCCAGAATCTCCCCAAGTGTTTATTTTTATCTGACATGTTTAGTGTTGCTGGAAAATGAACAGAAGCTCCAGCGCCCAGCTGCGTACCCAGTTTAAACATCCTTCAGTCTCCAGTTTATGTTTTTCATAACATAACAGTTGTGGGGTTTGAGCCGCTGTATTTATATCGAAAAGGTCCTTAGAGTTAATGGTCACACCCCCATCTTGTGGAAGAAAGTACATATTGCAAAACTAATATCACCGTGGGTTAAAGTGAACCTGCATTACAGGAATGTTCAAGCATTAGTTTGTTCTAAAAAACATGCTTTTGGAAGAATATGAAATTAATGTCTGATGAATACATCTATAGATGAACTGCTAGATACATACAATATGGATGGATCATACCTGTTCTTTTCTCTCTGTTTTGTAGGGTGATTATATACAAATGCTGAGGGAAGTGGGGGTGATGAATGTGATCAATCTGAAAGTGTTGAGCATGTAATAGGGATCAACATGTATGTACATACTTTTTTGTACTCCATTTAGGACTTGATGATTGACTGTTTATTTCATATCACATAGATTTTGTTGACTTTGATTGTGCACATGTGTGCATGTATGTATATGTACATATACACGTGAATATGTGTTTGTGTACTCAAACAAAAAACTATTTGAATGGTCATAAAAAACATGGAAAGGATTTCCACCTGATTAAATTGGTTTATTTTAGCATTATTCAATTCTTTCAACTTCATGTACTTTAGTTGGACCAGCTTAATTAAATAATGATGACTCAGCTTATTTACTGCAGTTGAGCCCAACTTAATTTAATTGAGTTGATCCAATCCAGGCAAATTACATCAGTCCAACAAAAGTAAGACATTTAGTAAGGTGGAAATCCTATTCATGATTATTTTAAGTTAATTTAAAGAGTTATTTTTTGGAGTGTTCAACTAAGTCAGAGTCTGGTTAGCATAAAACTTGTCATGCACATTGTTTTTTCCTCCAATTTTATGGATTTAGGACATAGCTGTCACTCCATAAATCCTTTTCCACTTGTCCTCATCCGGGTCTATTCCTGTCATAGGTCGAGAGGTAGGGCTAACCCTGGACAGGTTACCACTCGACAACTGTTCACACTCACATTCACACCTATAGCTAAATTAGAATAATTAACCTAATCCCACCAGAGAAAACATGCAAACTCCACACAGAAAAGCCCTGGCCAGTGGATTCAAACTCAGGGGCTTCTTGCATGAGGCAACAGTGCCAACCACTGTGCTAGCCACAATAAACATCAGCATACATGTGGTGTGTATGCTTTTCTCATATTCAGTTTTGAGGTTTTTGTTTAAATCATTGAATGTTTTTCACTTGTGCAAGACATAAATTTTTACCTCAAGCGCTCCGTGTTTCATGTTAAAGTCTTAAACCAGAAAAAGCCACAGACAATCAATATTCATTCTCACAGTTTTTGTTTTTATTATAAAGAACAGAAATGACATATGTGTGTATGTATCCTGGTTTTCTCAGCATGGCTTTGAAGCAATTACTCGTGAAATTTCCTGCTGGATTTTGTCCTCTTGGGTGTTTATGTCGATATCTCCCACCTGCCCGTTTTCATAGCTGTGGAAGAAGAAAGCAGCCTTTTTAGGAAGCTCAAATAAAGTCCAGAGTTCTAACTTTCTGAAGAAAAAAATGTTGGAACTGTTTCTCATTGTTTGCTTTTGCTTTCTGCTTTTTGTCTTACTCACACAAAGAGGAACCGCGTGCACACGTGGTCGGAAACCGGACACACCCAAATGTTGCCGTGTTTTTGCAGGTTTTTTGAAGTTATCACTGTTAACAGATAGACAAAATCACATCACACGCAATTAAATAAATCTTTGTTGCTTTGTGGGGTCTTCCGTATTTACCTTCACAGAGTGCAACGCAGTTTAGGTTCGTGCTTTGCAAAAACCTGCCTTCCCCCACTTGTTCCTAAAACATATAGAAATACAAGATGAGATACTGAAAGCAAAAAAGGATATTGTACTCCAGAGTGAATGTTTGCAGCATTTAGATAAATGTGAACAACCCGACCTGCTTGATTTGGTTTATTCGGTTGTATTTCTGCAAGAGTTCTTCTCTGTAGGAATTTTGTACTGACCTTTCCCCATCTCTAAAGAAAAATGGAAGAATACTCTTAAAAACATGCAAAAAGAACTCGTAATCGACAGACAAGAAACAGAGTTCTTACCAGAATATCCAAATGATATGCTTGAAATGGGACTCAAATAGATGCCTTTCCCATACGCAGCACCATGGAGCTAAAATAGAAAGAAGGGAGAGGTTTCGGTGGTCTGAACATCCACATAAAAATTTCCTATGTTGAAATTGTCTGTAACTTCAGACGGTGATCAAAGACAATAAGCATTTAGAATTTATATATTCTACCTGTAACTTTGTGTAAGATGCGTTAACCAGCCCGTTTCTCAAAATAGAGTGCCAGTTTTCAATGTGGGAACCACTGAAAGAAGAGAAATATGATCTACTAAGCATGGATCATGCTCTATATACTGTATAAGTGATGATGTGAAAATTTCATGAAAAAAAAAATCTTTGACTTCACTTACTGGAAAGCAAAGGTGCTGCCATAAAGCTTTTTGGCAGTTTGAAAGTGAGCCTCCTTACATGGAGGGCTGCTGATCAACAGGAACTGATGGGGTGTGTGCATAAACGTCAGTTGCTGTTAAATAGCAATTGATTAAAAACAACAACAACAAAAAATTAAATTATAGAAAGCACAGTGTGAAATTTGATATGTGGCTGCTAATTATTAACTAGTCTACAACTGCTTTAAAGCTTGCAGCTAGACTGCTAATAAATCTGACTGCTTGGGCATACCCTGCTCAGCGGAAGCTTCACAATGTGCGATCTGTTGCTTGCTAAAATCCTGTTGTAAAACATACAAAAGCAAATCCAGATGTTAACCTAACTATAACTGGATTTCACTCAAGTTACTCTTTTCTAACACTTTCATTTAAACGACTTCAGACGCAACGCTGCAATTACTTAGCCCAAAACAATGCGCTTGCCAAGTTTGAACTAGACTCGATGAATGGCTACTGAGGCGAGTGAGTAACAAAAGGACAGATATGCAGCGATCTACTAAATAATAACTAAAAACACATCCAAATTTAGTCTCTCACCACTGCAGTAATGGATGTGCGAGAGGGTCTATCTTGTCCAGCTGCTTCTTAATCTCAGAATATGGACCCTGAGTATGATTTAAAGACAATTTAATCATTATAATCTAATAAATCCAGTTCAGGAAATCATTTACCTGCTTTGAGTTTGTGCTCATTCAGCAGACCGATGTGTAATTGTTGAAAATGAGAGTGTAGATTTTACTTTGAAAGACCTCACCTGTGCCATCCTCCTGACCAACAAGACATTGTCCAGAGCTTTCTGCAGCCTGTCATAGCTTCTGCTCTGTTACAACAAAAGCGAAAACAAATCAATAAAATGACACACTGAATAGTGCACGACGGATCACGCCAGTGGTAACTTTGATTCAGCTGATACCTTTGGACTAAAGGCGAGAGTTTTGGGGTTGTGTGGATCGACAATAGAAGGGTACGGTTCAAAAATAAGGCTCTTGCGTGAAGACTGAAGGGCAGCTCTGCACATGGCTACCAACAAGTCGATCACCTGCAACAGCAAAGATTATTGCCTTACTCATGTCCCATACTGTAATAACTCCTGCTATAAAATATTTAAAAGCTTACCACCTCTGCACCGGTGGCAACCTCTTCTGTCGCTCCAGACATAACCCCCAGCATGTGAAAGGAAAACACACAGAGCTCCCTGGTGCAAACCGCTGGCTACAAACACACAACGTAGAGAATACTGTCGAAGAATCAAGGCTCAGTTTTACTGAATAGCTGCTCAACCAACAGTTAATTATTTATCGAGAGCTCGCACCTTAAGCATGGGCCCATTTTGAAACACGTGCCGCTCATCGCAAACAACACAATATTCATTCAGTGTTGGGATCCTCTGCTCAGC